AGGATGAAAGGGAGGAGGCCCACTGTCACTTCTCCTTTCTAAAGCTTATTAGAAAGCCAGCGATAGGGTGGATAGTGCAGGGGTGTAGGCACGGAGAAAAGAGAACCAGCAACAGAGAGGAAGATGTGTGAGTTCAGGGTGTTTGTTGCACTGCAGCTGCCTGGTGTGTGTGTGTGTGTGCGTGTGTGTGTGTGTGGACTCTGTCCTCAGTTTCCAGGAAAAGGGGGGAGCTATCCAAAGGGTGGACAGGAAACTCTAACAGGGCTAACTTCCTGTAGCTCTCCTGATGGCCGACCTGATAGTGAATGAGTGTGTGTGTGCGTGCGGGCTCGTGCACACATAACATTTTTGCATATTTTGCTCCAGTCTCTCCTGGATGTCGCCCATAATAGCCTTTGTTGCTGTAAAGATTGAAAGGAATTTTGGGGGAATTTGTTGGGTGGATGGGACGAACCTAGCGCTGTCAACTGGGAGCTCTGGTGTTTTTTCATAATGAAAGTGAATTACTTACTCTTTTTTTTTGTTACTCCCTGCCACAACCTGTATTGTTCTTCCTGTGTGTGACTTCCCTCACATTCCTCAGTAGGTGGGGAGGCTGCAGCCTGGAGGTCAGTCAGCATGAAAGGTTGCCAGTTTGAATCCTACGGCCACTTTACACCGAGTTGCCAGTTTATTGAGTGCACCTACAGTATAGGTAAAATGAATGCAGTCTAATACAACAGTTCTGCTATAAATTCTACCTTCATGAAGGTTATAATGTTCAGTTTAGTTGAGACTTTTAGAGAGGCGTTGAATCAATTTTATAGTCAGTTTGGAGGCTGTAGTTTGTGGTGCTGTTGGGTTTTATTGCATCATACAGACAAGTAATTCTAAAATTTTGTGTAACTGAATTATATCAATAACATTAAACTAAATATCAGAAGCTACAGCCTCCAGATTGACTCTGAATTTTAATCTAGGGCTGAATTTAAAGATTATTTTCATTATTGTTTAAAGGAGCAGTGCGTAGGATTCAGTGGCAGCTAATGGTGAGGGTTGCAGATTACAACCAGCTGAAAACTTCTCCTTTTCCTTACTCTGATAACTTCAGATCCAGATCCAGACATTTAGGAGGTTTTTAGCAGGGAACCTAATGATCCGTAGTAGGGATAGACCGATATGGATTTTTTAAGGCCGATGCCGATACCGATTTTTTTCCATCACCCTTAGCCGATGACCGATTATGGACTGCCGATTTTCTTGAGCCAATATTTGGGGCCGATACTGCTTTTGCTCCCTCAATTTACATAAAAAAAATGACACAATGATAACAAATATTACAGGTCTCAAGTTTAAAATAAGAAACATTTATTGAACAGTAAAAAATACTTAAACAAGATGGAAAGTTGAGGTAGAACAGGTAGAATATTATTATTATTATTATTATACATTCAAATAAAAAAAAGAGTTCAGTGCTCTTAAATCTTCCAGTAATGTCTTTATAAAATAAAAAAATATTTAAGCTGAAGCACAAATAAAACAACAACTACTGTACACAGTACGATTCAACAGCTTTGTTCAACTTAACCACATACTTTCAAATGAAAAAAAGTGCCAGGGAAAAATAAATCCGTGAACCCACGCGCGTATCGGCCGATGCCGATACAAGTAAAAACTCAAATATCGGCCTGATATATCGGCCGGCCGATGTATCGGTCTATCCTTAATCCGTAGAGGTTACTTTCTTTCCAAAACAGTCGGCCTTGGAGATTTCAAGTGGTCAAAACACTGAATAAAACAGTTTTACATTAAAAAAAAAAATCTGTGTTTTTACAGCGCCATTCAGCTTGTCACAGAGGGGCTGATGCACAAAGGCAAAAACTAGTGTTTAGTCTGTCTGTTTTGGGCGACTGTAGAAAGATGATGCACTCTCTGTGGATGACGACCCGCTCCCTATGTACTGTATATATAATAGGGTTGTCAAAAGTATCGATACTTTGAAAAGTATCGATAATCAAACACTGTATCCGGATACAATACTAATTTACAAAAGTATCGATACTAATAGTGCACGCCACCTCAGTGCCTGTCGGGTGTGCGCGACGGGTCCGACAGACACGCGCTGTGCAGGCAGCGTCTGGCAGGCACAGAGCCCTCGCTGCAACCCGGCTTGTTGTCGTCGCTGTGCATGCATGCACACATTTCTGTTGCTGTAATATGGCCAGCGCGGCTGCAGGAGGATCAGAGCAGCCAGTTTTGGTCAAAAATGATAAAGGAAAAAGCGCTCTTTGGAAATATTTAGTGAAGTGAACACAGCACGCTGCAGATGGCAGGTATAGCCCCTCCCCTCACTAGCAGCTGAGCAGCTGGTGTCGCCAGCATCAAACTAAAATATAACTTCTAACACTAATGTGGGAGCTAAGCAGAAAACTTTATCAGTCATGCCCGTCTGTAACATTAATAGACAATGTTAGTTTAACAGGACAACACAATTATTTGTGTCTGAAAAGTTATGTTAACTGTAAAGTCACAGATTGAAGCTAAAAAAATGTTTGGTTTCTCCCGTAACCCCTGGTTCTCTGATCACATAGTGAGGTAGAAACAGGAGCATCCTGAGCCTAAACTACCAACTCTATTTGATCAGCAACGAAAATATGGTGCCAATTCACCAGAAGCACAGAAAATAAACAGGGCTGTAGATAAATACATTTGTATGGACAGATCTTATTTCTGGTTGTTATTTATTTTGGGGGGATTTTTTGTTGTCATCATTGATGTTACTGTTCTGATCTTTATTTAAAAAATGACATGCCTCTTAATTTTTTGCTGCTGTATCGAAAATGGTATCGAGTATTGAATATTTTCCTGGGTATCGATATCGAGTTTGAAATTTTAGTATCGTGACAACCCTAATATATAAACAGCTCATTCTAAGATAACAAAAACATAACAATTGTTATTTTCAGGTGATTATACACAATAGAAAACATACTTATTATATATATTTCTGTCAGTATATCCCCCTAAATCCCACACACTGGACCTTTAATCTTTCAATCAATTGAAATGTCTTTAAAATGTTGGAAAAAAAGTGAAACATACTTATAAAAAATTCCTAAAACTCATAGTGACATCATTAAATAGTTTATTTTGTGCGACCAAAACTGAATGTGGGATTTCTGGCACTTTTGCTGATTTTTTTCTTTCTGTTGATCAATCAATCGATTATATGATGAATTGCTTCAGCTATAAATGAATCTGCACCCCTTAAAAACAGTTTCAACAAAAACTCAACATCATAATGTTTGTAAATGTAGATTTATTGCAGAGCATTATAGTGATACTGTAGTAAGACACTAGATATCCTCTTAGATTTTGGATATTTTTCCTGGTTTTAAAGGCTGCGTTACAGTAAAGTGATGTAATTTTATGAACTCATCAGACTGTTCTATCTGTTCTATTATTTGTCTTTACCCACTGAGTCAATATATCCACATTATGGACGATTTTTTTTAATCAAAATATTGTCACAATTACATTATTGAGGTTCTTGGTCAATGATATTGTAATATTATATTTTCTCCATATCGCCCAGCCAGAATGAGACTGCATCATTTAAAGGAGTAGCTTGTTTTTGTTTTAATTAAACAAATGAGACACAACATTACGGCCCTTTAGGCCTGCCAGTATCCCTGTTTGAGCGCAGTCACACATGACCAAAGTTATTATAACAAATATTTGTCTTCACCTTGTGAGCAAAAGGGTGAAAAAACATTCACGTCCAGTGGCAAAGCAAATTTGTTTCTTTGCATCACGTGGAGTTCAGCTTTGGCCAGCTAAGTCATGCCCTGTACCACTGGCAAAGAAGTATGTGTGGAGGACATATTGATTGCCGCTGTGTTTAACTAGCTGATATTGTATGATACTGGCCATGAAAAATACAAACTGTCCCAAATGAGAGATGTTGTCTGGCTGGGTGAGCTCAGAGACAGGGATGGAATGTAACACAATGGAAACTGTATCAGTAACATATTTCACTGTATATATTGCAAGCTAGCTAACATTAGCTAGCAAACTAGCTTTCCGTGTGCATCACACCCAGCACTTCCTACATTCAGCCAAGATATCTCCTCAGTGTGACTGTACCTTTTCAAGTGTTTATGCTAAGCTAAGCTAACTTGGTGCTGGCTGCAGCTTCATATTTACTGTACAGAAACGAGTGTTATAAATCCTTTCAACTAACTCTGCCAGAAAGCAAATAATAGTATATCCCAAAATTTCAAACTTTTGCTTTAAGATAGGTGTGCCTAATAAACCGTCGACTGGCGCTTGAAGAATGTCCACACTGGCACTTAGCAGTACGCAGATTTGTTTTCCTGCAGATATCATAGTGAAAAAAAAACAGACTGGTGTTGATCAGGAAAGCCAACACGCAATTAAAAATGTTTTACAGTCCTCTCTGTATGTTATTTCCTCTTGATGCTGGCACCAGCTTTTGCTCTATTGAAGCACTGCGGCCTGCTCAAAACTGGAAGTCAGGATTTCGTACATGTGTGCACATAATGATCTTTGTGAAACAAATTTCACACTGTCAGTGACTGTCACTTTGTGTCAGTTATCTCTGTCCAGTGATGACATTTACAGGTCTCTTTCACCACAAACACACACGCACACACCCACGCACACACACACAGTTGTTGACCAGAGAGAAGAGAATGACTGAGTACCCCTTCTCGAAACTGCAAAGCAAAAAGGGAAGTGGCTAACCTCACATCTCTCTCTCTCTCTGTCTGTCTCTCCTTATCTCGAGCTGTCTCTTTTTTTTCCGAACTTCTCTGTCTCCTCGCTTTTCCCTTCACGCATCTCTTTATTCATGCTTTAACGCTTTTGAGCCTTTTCTCTCACATCCTCCAAAACCTTTTCCCTCTCCGGTGCTCTGCCACTCATCCTCTCCTGCCCTGCTCTCTCATTCCGCCCCTTGTCACTCACTACTCCCCTCCTTTTTTTTTTTTTTGTTCCAGTGGCGATGGTGATTGACAGATGATCTGACTGAGGAAGACATCAGGTGAGGAAAAAGTTAACTTCTCCTTCCCGCCTTACCTCTCACTTCCGCTCTTCCTCCTCCTGCTGTAGGGAAGTTGAGTTTTTTTTATTTAAAGTTTGTTGCTTCTCTCTCGACAGTTCTCCTCAGTTTAGTGACCTCCTGTGTGCTGTTGATGTGTGTTGCTTTCACTTTGTATCAGCTTGTGTTTGAAAACTCAGGTTGTGTAGACATGACTTAGATTATTTAAAGTAATTTTAAAATGATCTCTATCATGTGTGGAGCACTGATAATATGATTAATTGGGTAGTTGAGTCATTACTATACTTCAAGGTACACTCCATCAATTTTACACATGAAGTCAGGTTTACTGTGAAGACAGTTATATAATGCCATCTGTGACTGGAGGAGATTTCTATTCTATTTTCCCATTTTTTTGTGTCTAGTGACTAATGGGAACAACAGTTTATGAAACCGATCCAGTATTAATTGAGACCCCTTAGGGCATGTTTGCACCGTCATTTTACGTCCACTAAAAGTGATTGCTTTTGCCACTTACAGGCCTAGAGTCAGAGAATTTATGGAAAGTATCCTTCAGAAATAGACCTTAAAATCTTTTTTGTTTAACCAGAAACAGCCACAAACTCACCATGACCCAACCCACCAGACTCCATTCAAATAAACAGTGATTTTATCATAGTAAAACGCTTTTCATTTAAAGTCGACAAAAACAAAACAAAACTCACAGAAGCCATCTTGGTTTGTCTCTCCACTATTCTGCCAATCACCAACTCTGGTTTAGTTGAAATAAATCCTTTATTCACCCAGTTAGATGTGAAATCATGCTGGCTCTATACACACTAAAATGTTTATTTAAATGGAGTCTGGTGGAAACAGGATCCAGGTTTGAAAATTTAACAGAGGGCTGTTGTTGCAAACTGGATGTATGGAGTTTGTGGTGTTTGTTTATCAGGCAGCAGTGGTCTAAGGGAAAATGTTATCAAGTTGCATTATGGGAAATGTAGGACCATATGCTCACATACTTATAAACAGCGCCTGGAAGAAGATCAGCCCTGCAAATAGACTATGATACAGTTAGGGTTGCTTAGTAACCTCAGACACAACCTGCCAGCCCCTAACTCATACTAGGCACTTCTTTTAAATTCTGAACCAACTTTTAAACAAACACATTGTTACTAAAGATTATTGTGTTGTACTTATACCAAGTAAAATGCTTTTACAAACTGCATACAGCTTTAATCATCATCAGCATCAAGCAGCAACGCAGAGAAGTAAAACTGACATTTTACATACTGACAAAGTTGTGCCATGTTTCTTTAACTCTGCTTGCCTTCACAGACGCTGTCTCTGTGGTGGTTATTATGGGGTGTACCTGTTGCAAGCAGAAGAAGTCCGCCAAGGCAGCACTAACATCAACAGCAGCAGTAGACATTACGGATCAGTCTCCTAGCAACGCAGACGGAGGGTTGTCCTCGGCCTTGACTCCGGGCCGTTACTGTCCCGACCCCACTCAGACCATCCCAGACTTCAACAAGGGCTTCTCTTCAAGCACCATCTTCCCAAACACCAACACACACCAGCGGCCTGGAGGTATAGCAAGTAGGACTCAGTCTGTGTGTGTGTGTGTGTGTGTGTGCGTGCAAGTATAATGGTCTTATATTATGAAAATCAATATGCATATTAACAAGTATAGTTTTCTAACCCAGGGCTTCTTCAGTGACATTTGTTTTTATCTTAAAATTATATCTTTGGTACTATAAAGATCAGATAAATATATCTTGTAAGAGTCTTGATGGTACTCTGTGATGTTTCTCCACCAAAACATGATTCAGAATATTATATAAACATGACAAACATGTAGAAATTTTTTTAAAAGTCTGTCTTAAAACAATACTCACATGTTCATATGTAGGCTACGTTGAAAGAGTTATTGATTGCTCCTGTCCGTACTGGCCCTGAAGTGTTTTCCTCATGCAATTTATTAAAAGCGATGGAGGTTTTATGCAGAAATGCATTTTAAAATCCAGTCATTTAGACTTCGGCAGTCTCGTTTAGACAAATCTAATGGATAACTTTCAAAGTACAATCTGTGTTTCCTGACTGGGATAGTAACATAAAGAGGTACTAAGAAGACTGTAACTTTGGAAGATACCCATTTGATTTGTACAGTATAACTCAGACTGCCCCTCATCTCTTACACTGGAATCGTGCAATGAAGGGATCTCCTCACATCCACTGTGGACAGGAGGAATCCTGACTTCAGTAACTATTTTCATGTACCTTTAATGTATCCTTCAGGTCATTTAAAACAGTAAAACCCTACATGATAGTCGGTGTATAACTTTAAACGGATAACTTCTGTGTGTCTTGTTGTGTGCGTTCATTTGTATCTGTGTTATGTGTGTGTGTGCAGGTGGTGGAGTCACTCTCTTTATAGCTCTGTATGACTATGACGCTCGCACTGAAGATGACCTCACTTTTCAGAAAGGAGAGAAATTCCAGATAATCAACAACACGTATGTACAAATGTTCCCAAATACAACTTTTCATAACATTTCTGTACAGGACTGTGGCATAGAACATTGTAATCGACCAAATGCATCTGAAGCTGAAACATGATTTCAAACTACATGGATTAAATGTCGTAAAGGGACAGTCTATGATAAAAAAAAAATACTGCTACTGCTAGCTCACTTAGCACCAATGAGATAGCTTACATTACAGCTCAGCACAGGAGGATGCCATTAATGTTTACATATCGTGCTGTCACAAACATGAGTCAATGCACGCTTCCTTTTGCACGGTGATACAGTTGGCCAGTATGGTTTAGTAGAAAGAAAATAGTTCCTGCATTAAACTGCTCACACCAAGGTCTGTGAATTGTCCTTAGTAATTGGGTCATGATTTTTGGAAAGAGACATTGCTGTCAAGTTTTTCAAATGTTATTTTTTGGCTCTTTGAGCTCCACAAGCTGAGTGCCATCTAGCTCCATTATATCCAAAAGAAAGCAGACATCTTTATGGCCCATTTCTCCAACACATAGCAACTCACACCAAAACAATCTAGAATGATAAATAGCACTACAGGTAAGATAAAATATATGTGTTTTTGATTTTGTGTTGAGCTGTCATTTTAAATGAGGTCAGTTTTGACTCCCAAAAGGTAATTAATTTTGTTTGCATACATTACGCGCCACAAGCTGCAATTAACTGTCATCCATTAACACTGTGAACTGTCAGAGGTGTCAACTGCTGCCGGCGATGATGACAAGCTCGTGCTCTTGATCAGTGTTCTTGTCCTACACCGGAAATCTAAAATCACTTTGTATGCTGAAGTTTAAATTTGCGGGTGTTTAAAGCTGCCGTCGCTCCAGCAATTTCACACATTTGCTCTTCATCTTCTCTATCGTCGTCTAGACACCTTTTATTCTTCAATTCATTTTAATGACGCACAGTTTTGTCATTGTTCCTTTTAATTTTAACATTGTTGAAAGTAGAATTAGAGTATAGAGCTACAAACTCTCCATCATGTGTCGTATCAAATTGTGAGCTGACTGTAATGTTGTCAGGCAAGCTCACATTTTGTGTGTGTGCTTTTGTGCAGAGAGGGTGACTGGTGGGAGGCTCGTTCTCTGGACACAGGCAACTCAGGTTACATCCCCTCCAACTACGTAGCTCCTGTCGACTCCATACAGGCCGAAGAGTGAGTACACACACACACACACACACAGAAGTCAAAACTACATGTGCGACGAGTTTAAAGTGACAGATAATCGACATGTAGTCCTAGGGCAGAGGTCACAGGATGTGTGCTGTTGCTGTGGTGACCCATGTGCTGTTGTCATGGTTACAGGTGGTATTTTGGGAAGATGGGGAGGAAGGATGCGGAGAGACAGCTGCTGGGCCATGGCAACCAGAGGGGAACTTTCCTTATACGAGAGAGCGAGACCACCAAAGGTAATGAGGCCACACTCACTCTTAATAGAGACTCGCTGCTCTAAATATGTGAAAACTTTCCTGTTCTCTCTCTTTCTGTCTCTCACCTCTCCCCCAACTCTCCCCTCCTTCATTCACCTCCCTCTTCCTCTCCTCTCTCTTTACAGGTGCTTACTCTCTGTCTATCCGTGACTGGGACGACAACAAGGGAGACCACGTCAAGCATTATAAGATCCGCAAACTAGACAATGGTGGCTACTACATTACCACGAGATCACAGTTTGACACAGTTCAGCAGTTGGTGGAGCACTACACAGGTAACATACACATTAACACATGGGGACTAATTCATCCTCTTATTTTATGCTTCTCCTTCAATTTAGGGGTTATAAGGGGGTTACATTTTCTTTTTCTTTGCATCTTCGTGCTCCAAAGCTCCTGCTTCCAAGGATTGTATCAACCTTGTCTTAATCATTCTCTTCCCAAATTCAAGACAGACTTTGAGCCTGTTATTCTGCTTGATTCATACTGTGATTACACTTTTACCAGTGGTGGAAAGTAAGTACTTTTACAGTACATATTTTGCTTGAGGACTTCTATTTGATGCTACTTTATGCTTCTACTTTTCAGAGGGAAAATTGTGCTTTTCACTACACTACATTTACCTGACAGCTTCAGATTCAGATTTTACAATGAAGTATATGATCAGCTTATAAGATATAATGCTTTGTTAAAGGACGACTCATCTACATAACTGTGCAGTAAGTAATCAAATTAAGCTCCACCCTGACCAGCATCAACAATATTAAAATGAATCTTACATGTTAATGCATCAGAAACAATAATCTGGGAATTAGGTTCATTTTACTGTCCTGCCTATGACGACATAAGGGATGTATGTTTTAGTAAAATGACCTCCACTTATTTCCTTTTGGTTGGATGATCATAAAAAAATTGAGTTATGTTTCAGAAGTAGAACCTTTTTGTTTGTCAGAGCTGGGACTAAAGGCAAATTATTTTGTTTGGGACTGAGCAGTAAGATAATATGTATTTTGGATTGATCACTACAACAATATTGTAATAGTGTCTTGTAAACCCATGATGGTCGGGCAAGATTAGGATTTTAAATACAGAACTTTTGTTTGTAAGACACTCACTTTTACTTTAGTTAAGGATTTCTTTCATTTTCTTTATCACATCCATAGTCAATGCAACTGAATATTCAAGCAGTGAGAGAGAGAAAAAAATATCTTTTTAGAGCCAAGAGTGATTAAAAAATAAAAAATTGTGAGACAGAATCTTGTATCACAAATGAAACCTCGGCCTGGTTTTCATTTAGGCTGACTCATACTCTATTTATTTCCATTTTCAAGGGTTGGCTATGAAAAACGAGCCATAAAAAAATATACGCATTCAGAGATAAAGAGATAAAGGCTAAAATAAAATAAGATAAAATAAAATAAAACAAAACAAAACAAAGCAAAACAAAACAAAACAAAACAACATAAAATAAAATAAAATAAAACAAAACAAAATAGAATAAAGTAAAACAAAATGAAATAAGATAAAAATTAAATTGAATTAAATTAAATTAAACAAAATAAAATAAAACAAAATAAATTAAATTAAATTAAATTACATTTGATTAAACTAAATTAGATTAAATAAAACAAAACAAAATAAAGTAAATACCATAGCAGTTTGGCTTTACAAAGTTGCACACTTTACATTGCAACATCTGGACAGAGGAAAACGCAATAGAGAAAAAGGAAAAATTAATAACTAAAAAGTAGTAATTATCTTAACAAAGTCTGGTCTCAGAAGTTTGACATATTGCATCCATTTTTCCAGAGTTGTTTAGTAAAAGATTTCAATACTTCTTCCACCACTGACCATTAGTGATTCTTTCAGCTTGATTCTGAGTTGTTATAACAAGCAGGGTTCACACCCTCCACTTCCTCTGCTCTCTGTCAGTGTAAATCTGCCCCCTAGTGGCATATGTTGATACAATAAACACTCTGCAGTTACTGACTTCACATGACACGAACATGAAAAGCAACCTGAGAGATTTGGCCACCTATATTGTTGCTTTTGGTGTTTGTTTGTTTTTCTTATGAACTTTGTTTGTGCTGCATTGCCTTGTCTGTGTTTGTAGATGCTGCTGCTCAGAATGTGTGTTTATGTCTGTTTTGCTGAGTTTTCCTTGTGTCTTTGTACTTTAGTTTTGGGTTAACTTGTCAGTTGCATAAGCGCATAAGCAACCTGTCATGTTTTTTTTTTTTTTTTATCTCTGCGTTTGCTGCTTTTTTTCCTCTGTTTTCTTTCCCTCTTGTTTCTTTTTTTCCCTTCTCCTGCTTGTTTGTCTCTCCTCTCCCTCTCTCTCAGAGAGAGCGGCGGGACTGTGCTGCCGTTTGATTGGCAGCTGTAAGCGGGGCATGCCTAAGCTGGCCGACTTATCAGTGAAGACCAAGGATATGTGGGAGATTCCCCGTGAATCCCTCCAGCTGATTAAAAAACTAGGCAACGGCCAGTTTGGAGAAGTCTGGATGGGTAGGAATTGTGGGACTGTGTTGCAGTGGGGGAAGGTGAAAGCGGGAGCACACCTGGATAAAATAAAGCATTAAAAGATGAGCAGGTACATATAATGCATTTAAGTCCTGGTTGTGTTCAGTTGACAAGAACATCAGTAAACGCTTCTGGTGTAAAGACACCTGCGCTCTCACAAAAACATACTGTAAAGCCCTGTTTATCTGTCTGTGTTGTTCAGAGTCTGTCTTCCTGCAGTATACCTGTGGGTTGGACCACACACACACATAGCTGATAGATGGAGTCTGGACTAGTTTGTAAATGTTTTGTGTTCTATTCAAACTGCAGCAGTGAAACAAATTGCTGTGTGTGATAACACAGAGGCAGCAGTTAATGAATAAAAATGTGGCTTTGTTTTACATCCAGGTGTGCAGACTTGTTCACTCCTCCACTGTCATTGCATGTGCATGTTTCATCATCTCACCTCACCTCTTTGTCACCTCCCCATCCATCTTTCTCCCATTTTGTCACCCATCACTACACCCTTTTCCCCCATTCTTCATCACCCACTTCCACTCTTTCCTTTCTCTACATCTCCACCCTCTCTGGCTCCCACCTCCCTCCCCTTAATAGGCTCTAATGATGGGCTGTGTTATTACCTGACCAAGCCCTGTCTTAACAGCACCCCACTCACCATGGGCCTAGGGCGGGATGCCTGGGAGGTGCACAGGGACGCGCTGTCCCTGCAAAGGAAGCTGGGACAGGGTTGCTTCGGGGACGTTTGGATGGGTGAGACTGATACGGCCAATCCCTGACGCCTTCCACAGGCAGAGGGAGAACTGTCTGTCCAACGTACAGTGTCCATTGCTGTCCTGTAGCAAAAATCATTGTTTATGCTACATGTCATTTATGTCAGTGTTTGTAAGTAAAGTTGTGATGTTTTTCCCAATATCACTTGGAATTCCCACGTTACATGTAAGACCAATTTGTGTTGAGACTGTCATGCAGTTTCACTGACTGAATCTACGTGTGTTGGGTTTTCTAAGCCGTGCAAAGTTTGGCCCTGAAGCCCAGCAAGCTTTGTGCCAAGGGATGGGAATTGAGAACCAGTTGTAACGGCTTCCAAATTGTGCGATCCATCGGAATTGTATACCTCCGAGATTATCACTTCCTTTTATCCATGTCAGAGTGTTTTGCGGACAGTTAACATGATACCGAAATGTCTCTCTAAGCATCATGGGCTTAAATTTCAGGAATGCCATGTATCTGACACTTGATGTGTTAGTGCCACTGCTGGTCTGTTACTGAGGGTAAATATACTGTTTTATTAACATCAGTGTCACACTGTGTCACATGCATGCCTTTTTTCTACTCTGTGTCTACACTGAGTTCAGACTTAGAGATAATAAAACACATTTGTTGATTCGGACAACCTCTGTATGTCTACTTTTGCTCTCACACAGAAAACTGATCAGGATTCAGTAAGAAAATAGATAAAGAATCAGACCAACAGGCAGAATTGTCAATGGCATTGGAATCAATCAAATCTTATCAATTCCCATCCCAGTTTGTGCCTGTCCATATAACTCAGGTACTGCTGGTGTTAGGACCAGTAAACCTCCCTGCCCCCTAACATCACTCTGTCTCATGTCATGCATGTTCTCCTCAACAGCGATCATTTGCATGCACCAGAAGTATGACCACATGTGGTTTTTTGTCACAGCCTCTTTATATTTATATCTGCATGCGTGGGTGTTTGTGTCCAAGTATAAGTAGTGTGTACATGTACAGCTATTGCCTTGTCATTATGCAAGGTACACAGTATGTTTCTGTGTGTCTCCACGTACTATGTGTGCATTAACTCTTCCTCGTCTCTATGCCAGGCATGTGGAACGGTACCACCAAGGTAGCGGTGAAGACTCTGAAGCCAGGAACCATGTCCCCTGAGGCGTTCCTGGAGGAAGCTCAGATCATGAAGAGACTCCGCCATGACAAGCTGGTGCAGCTCTACGCTGTCGTGTCTGAGGAGCCCATCTACATTATCACTGAGTTCATGAGCCAAGGTATCAAGCTGAGTAAACTGTCAAGCCTGTGATATAGTGTAGATACTATGAATCGCTGCATACTTTACTGCAGTTCATGAGAACTTCTTCACTTATTTAATCTGCACCTGAATCTGGAAAAGGATTCACTCGTTTTAACCATTCTTTAAAACTTTTGTGAAAAGACTGAGACATTCCCATTATGGTTAAAAAACAGTTCCAAAATAAAAGTCACCCCGATGTCCATAACGTTACCTGGCTGTCAGCTGGACGTCCTTTATGAGCGCCCTAGCAACGTTGAAACACAAAGCTAACATGACCAAATAATAAACTAACATTGACCTACACGTGACTCAAAATCTGGTCTCCAAGCTGAAAGCCCCATTCATCCACTCAAACTTACTACTCATACGTATTTTGTTGTTCCTTATTTGATGTCACCTAACTTTCTGGCACAAAGTCCTGAAGGCACCGTCTCCCGTGTGTGATCAAAGACGGTTTGGATGAAGACTATTGACTCTTACAAACAACACAGGCTTAAAACAATGAGACAGAAATAGATAGATAAATAGATGGATAGACAGACAGACAGACAGACAGACAGGTAGGTAGGTAGGTAGATAGGTAGATGGGTAGGGTTCTAGGTAGCTAGATAGATGGATTGGTGAATGGGTCTAGGTAGGTAGATAGATGGATGGATGGTGGGTCTAGGTAGGTAGATGGATGGGTAGGTATAGATAGATAGATAGATAGATAGGTGGGTGGGTAGGTGGGTGGGTGGGTGGGTGGGTTGGTCGAGATAGATAGATAGATAGATAGGTGGGTTGGTCGAGATAGATAGATAGATAGATAGATAGATAGGTGGATGGGTTGGTCGAGATAGATAGATAGATAGATAGATAGATAGATAGATAGGTGGGTTGGTCGAGATAGATAGATAGATAGATAGATAGATAGATAGGTGGATGGGTTGGTCGAGATAGATAGATAGATAGATAGATAGATAGATAGATAGATAGATAGATAGGTGGGTTGGTCGAGATAGATAGATAGATAGGTGGGTGGGTTGGTCGAGATAGATAGATAGATAGATAGATAGATAGATAGATAGATAGATAGTTGATAGATGGATGGATGGGTGAGTGGGTCTAGGTAGGTAGATTGATGAATGCATGGGTGGGTCTAGGTAGGTAGATAGATGGATGGATGGTGGGTCTAGGTAGGTAGATGGATGGGTAGGGATAGATAGATAGATAGATAGATAGATAGATAGATAGATGGGTGGGTGGGTTGGTCGAGATAGATAGATAGATAGATGATGGATGGATGGGTGGGTCTAGTTAGGTAGATAGATGGATGGGTGAGTGGGTCTAGGTAGGTAGATGGATGGATGGGTAGGTCTAGATAGATAGATAGATAGATAGGTGGGTGGGTAGGTAGATATTTCCTGGTTTGTAAGAGAGGTACTGACTGGACCATTATTGGACATGGAAACGTCACCATTTGGCTGTCTGCCTCATAACCTCGTTGCAGTTTGTAGTGCTTGTAGTGTGTTGTAGTGGGACCATTTTTGGCCAGGGACACTCCTGCTGAGAACCAAATAGACAAACTAACAAACAGGAACCAAAACCTAAACTGCAACACTCAAGGCATTTACCCAATGGTAAAAAAAATTAGCAGAAGTGAATTCTGTGGTCACAGAGACTTTGTAATTTGAAAGATCACAGTTAAAGTCTCCATGCTGGGCAAAATACTGAACTAAAGATTCCAGTGATTCTTTTTCTTCCTCTGACCTTTGACCTCCCCATGGAGGTGGCCTCAAGGCAGGTAAAACCATAGAAATAGAATGAGAGTAGAACGCCCTACCCCCATCTCCTCAGTTTCAGCTGGGAGATGTGTTCGAGCAGAGACTTCACTACCTTTGTACTTATCTCATAAACAAACAAAATGAATTCACAAAGGGAAAGGGAATATCTTAACACCATTTTTCTTATTAAACAGAAAAATACAGCTGTACACCATATCAAGTTTCTCTCTTTCACTGAACGAAGACGTTGGCTTGTTAACTCATCATAAAACACACTTCCTTCAAACTCAACAGAAACAAAATAAAAGTCCCCGAAACAGTCTTAGTTAGTCATCTAGTTAGTTAGTCCACTGTTCCAGCAATCATCAACTTGGATTTGGTCGAAACAAACGCTTAATTCGCTGTGAATGTATTTATCCCCCTCGATCTCATCAGCTGTCCACTGAGCAGCGGCTCTCAGTCGTTCATCAGAGGCAGCTACAGTAGTGTTACATCATGTTTCAACAAATATGCAGTTATGGCAACAAGAGAAATAACTGTTACAGTAATATTTCAACATGATTGGATGATAGAGATAGTGGTAAAGTTTGAGTGGTTAACTAGAAGAGTGGACGCCCATAATAAGATGATTGGAAGAAGCGGTTTGAGTGAGGGAGAGAGAATTGTGAATGAAAGTCTTCCTAAAGACCACGGCTTAAAGTTCAGTATCCTTTCTTCTCATTCTGTTTCTATGGGTGAGTATTCAGTATTCTCTGAAAACCAAAAAGACAGAGACAAAAGTTGGCATTAAGTTGTATTCATGCAAAGGAAACTAAAATATTTACTTTTGTCACTGTGAACTTACAAGCATCTATCTAAAAAGAATTTGACTGAATATATATTTTTTACCCACCGTGATACACAGCAGATATGAGAACTAGAAAGTCACGAAGCTGCAACCTTATTTTTTCAGGAAGTTTGTTGGACTTCCTAAAAGATGGTGAGGGACAGAGTCTGAAGCTGCCACAGCTGGTGGACATGGCTGCACAGGTGAGTTAAACACAAACACACTGCCTGACTTAAAGCAAACACAAACTTTCACTGTCTCTCTGAGCTCTTTTTGTGTCTTTGTGTTCACAGATTGCAGCTGGGATGGCGTACATCGAGAGGATGAACTACATCCACCGTGACCTGCGGGCAGCTAACATCCTTGTTGGAGACAATCTGGTGTGCAAGATTGCTGACTTTGGCCTGGCTAGGCTCATTGAGGACAACGAGTACACCGCCAGACAAGGTAACAGCATGAGATATTAAGTGAGCGTGTATGAGGGAGATGCAGAATGCAATGCAATGATTAAGAGTGTCTGCCTCTGCCTCCGTGCCTATATTTTTATACATAACCTATCCTAATTATATGATTATTCATCTTCACTGTGTTGCCATGGTTTCAGGGGCGAAGTTCCCCATCAAGTGGACGGCTCCAGAAGCTGCATTGTACGGACGCTTTACCATCAAGTCAGACGTATGGAGCTTTGGCATCCTACTAACTGAACTCATCACTAAGGGACGGGTGCCGTACCCAGGTACTGGATGATACCTGCTTGTTCAGTGTTTTTGTAGTTTGCTTAAATTTTCAACCAGAACAAATGACACACAACACTTTAGGGCCTTTTAGTGCCTTGCTCGAATGTGATTGCAAAAGTAGATGGGAAGGAAGGGGAGACCCTGCTGTGCAAATTAGCACACAGATCATGCCATTTCCTCACCCAAACATTTCCAGTTTACTGTATGTCCTCAAGTGGCGACGGATGCTGCAATAAATGGCAATAATTTCTCTTGCAACATCTTATTGATACGCTGACACCGAGCATTGCTCATTTTAAAATCTTTTGATTAAGAATTTTAATCAAATCAATACTTTGTTTTTGTAGTAATTTGTCGTTATTTATGTTAACTTACTATACAGAGATTTGGAAGTTATACAGTTTATTTACTCTAAAACTGAACTTGGAACTTTAATATATTCCTATAACTTTATTTAAAGCTAGAGTTGGTAACTTTTATTAACTAACTTTGTGTCATATTTGCTGACACTGTCACTAAATCTGACAGGAATACATGAGACAGATAGTCTGTGAAAAAAATCATGTCCCTCCTCCACTTCCTACTGCTTCTAATGCCGTTTGATAGAAGTGACTGCAGCGCACCGAAAACAACCAATCAGAGTCGAGGAGTCTGATGCAGCTGTCAATCACTGCTTATGACCTGCAGCCAAACTGGTAAAGTAGGCAGCAGTGATTAAAAATGAATCAAGATTCTGTTACTGCATTGCCCCTTTTTTGCCTCAATTGTTTTCAGAAGCATATTTTAATGTACTGTTTAGCTGTAAATTGAGAAAGTTTGTGACTCTCCTGCTATGTTGGAAATGGTCAGCTAAACAGGACACTAAGATATGTTTCTGAAAACATTTAAGAGGAGGAATAAGCAGTGCAATAACAGAATCTTGATTCAGTTTGACCACAGTTTATGACAGCTGCGTTAGAGACTCCTCGGCTCTGACTGGTTGTTTCCGTCAGAAGCAGTACAAGGCAACAGAGTAGGCAGAGGAATATTATTTCCACAGATTTTCTGTCTCATTTAGTGCTGTGTGAATATATCAACAGTTTCAGCATATATGACTAAAGTTACCAAAGACAGCTTTAACAAGGGATTCAAACCTCTCTTACAGTACTGTCATTGCCATGTGGCAACCTCAGAGGCTGAAAAATCATGTCAACGTGCAGTGCCAAAACTGCAGTTCTTTGAATGGCCACTTGAGGCTGACTCCAAATGCCAGTCAATCCCTGTAGACCCCCATGTTAAAATGCCCAACTTTACAGCAGAGATAAACGTGTTTACAGTCTGGTAGAATAAATGGTTTTGATTTCTATAGATAATTTCCCCATTCATGACAACTGCACAAAGTGTCTGCAGGTCCTTCAAAAGTCTTACATTCAATTATATGAATATCGGGCCTTTAATGTCATTGAATAGTCTTATATTTGAATTTGTGAGGTCTTTACATTTACAAACATTTGATCTCATTTCATTTATGCATTACTTAATTTCTTTTGTCATATGAGTCAAGCTCTTCCGCTTGAAGGTTCAAATTCCTGATGTTACAAATCTTTAAAACCTAATAGTATTACTACCTAACCTGACCTAATACTGTCTTTTACTTTATACTGACATTTACCTGTTACAAAGAGTGAGTTTTAACTCACTTCAATAACCATAATCCTATAAAAAAAAAACACCTCTCCACAGGACTACATATATACTACTCACCTTTTTACTTACCTGCAATGCTTGAATAAGAAAAATCAGTCTTAAATTTGGTAAAAAATGATCGTGTTAAGGTCTTTAAAAGTGTTGAATTGAAGTGCTGGATACCAGTAGACACCCTGTGTATGGTGGGTGAATTTTTACATAACTCACCTGTGTAAATCCGTCCAAATACGGTAACTTCTGGCTCCAAAACAAAGATTGCGATGGCCAAATTGCCAAAATTGAGGCCTTAGAATTGGCATCCAAAAACAAGAATGTGATATCACCATGGCTACATCCATTATGTGCATACAGTGTATGGTCAAGGCCACGACAGCAGCATCACATACAACAAAAAACAGATGTTACAAAACATATTAGACAGACTTACAATGAATGAGATAAAATATAAAAGAACAATGAAGGATACAAAACATAAAATCAGAAAGATAATGTAAGACTGATAAAAAAAACAGTCATAAATAAACCATAACAAAGAATGTAAAAATAGATGCGCAGTAGATTCAGATTCATAAAAATGAGTACATGAGCTAGACAACAGATGACACTCATGATCAAAACTGTTGCCAGTTTGTGACATTTACGTTTCAGTAAAGCCACGTGTTTTGTTTTAATCCAAATGTCCTTCTCTGAACCCTCCTCCACTCCTCTGTGTCCACATCCCCCTCCCCCCTCCATCCCTTTAGGCATGAATAACCGTGAGGTGTTGGAGCAGGTGGAGAGGGGCTACAGGATGCCCTGTGCCCCCGGCTGCCCCGCCTCGCTCCATGAACTGATGGTGCAGTGCTGGAGGCGGGAGGCCGATGAGAGGCACACTTTTGAGTACCTGCAGTCCTTCCTGGAGGATTACTTCACCGCCACGGAGCCGCAGTACCAGCCTGGAGAAAACCTGTGACCAATGATGCAATAAACGGACAAACAGAAAGACAGATAGACAGACCGGTCATCATTGTATTTGTCCCATGCACACACACACACACACACACACACACACACACATATTAGAATACATATCATTGCCTTGTTTCATTGTTTGAAGACAGTTTCCTCCTCTTGGTTATTGATCACTGCAGCCCATTCAGGACAGATCAGTCAACCGTGCTGAAGAGCCGAGTCGGAGCTCTGCTGATCAGGCCTTGCAGTAATGTTGCTTTGCTCTGTAACCATGACAACAAGGAACTGAAAGAAGATGTAGATGTTCGTGTTGAGGTGGGGGGAAGTGGAGTTGGTACATGATTTGTTCAGCTGCCATATATGTTCAGGTCCTTGATTTCTGCTTCTGAGAAGAGCCATTTTTTAGCAGGCCAACTGTTTGCCAAATAAATACATTGATACAGACACGATAGAAGGTGCAACAGGTTCCAGATAACTGTAAATGAACCCAGTGAACCCGTGTGGTAGGTTGTGCACAGTGCACATAGACGCTGTAAGATTTTTAAGATGCCTCCTCTTTCAAAAATCTTACACGCATATAAAAAGGCTGTTGATCTGATCCACGTCCATCACCTGAAAGGGGGAACTGATTTTACATTTGCACCAATAAGTGCCTTAAAGTGTTCAAATTAAGGGCTGTTTTAGATTTTAAGTACCTTCAATATTGTTAGTAAAGACTGGAGAGATGGTAAGGAATGCTCTTTGTTTGTCTGATAATTTGTATGACAATTTTGTATGAACTGTCTCTTTTACTGTTTTAATTTAACTCAGATACTATGTCTGTGCATCACAAAGACTTCTATATCTAGCTAACATGTATACAGTTTTCATCCATTGGGAGGGCAGGGTGAAATGTTACACATAAAGGGGGAAAGATCAGCATAAGTGGGCTTTGGAAGGATAGTGTTTATGACAAGAGTGTAACCTTTATGTGATTTTGAAGAGATTATCCTGTCATGTTATTGTAATAAAGATCATATCTTTTTCCGGGTTACAACTTGTCTCTCATTCTGTGAGTTTTTGGACATGTATGCTATTTTCTTTGATGCTTTGTAAGAGGTATGTCAACATCAAGTGTCATCATATGCAATACAATCAAAGATAAATGATGATTTCCTTTGGTCTGCCTCTATATTTGTATTATTTGTGTCAGTATTTTCCTTTTTCTAACTTTTAAGGCTTGTGTGAGGAAATATTTTTACATTAGCCTATGTGTTTTGTACTTCAAGTTAAATGGCATATTTTTGTATTTTACTGCCTGTAACATATACAAAATTAATACAAAAATTATATGTTGCTAAGAAAAAAGAAAAAATTTGGCTTTAAGTCAATCCACTATAGTTATGTGACCAATATTATAGAATTTTCTTTACAGCAGGCCAAATGTTTGACCAGATAATTTGTAGTTTTAGATTTTATTATTAAACATCATATTATAACCTTAGTTTTATTACCATCCCTGGCACCGGTAACTATTAACAATCCTCGAAATTCCTCCCACTCCCACTCATGTCTGTGTCTCGCTTTCCTCCCTGTTTCCCTCATTCACGCTCGCTCTCCTCCAGTCTCCAGTAAACTACTGTTCCCATAGTTCCACAGGTGTAAAGTGAGGCCAGCTACGGGTGCCCGGATGGCTTTGACAGTCAGGCACGTTGGAGAGGCACAGCGGAGACTGGGGCGCACGAGAGACAGAGAGCTGGAATTGCAGAGGCAGAGACGCACGGGCGCACGGTCGATTTTTGCCTCCCGCATACCGGGGAGTCCCGTGCCTGTCACCAAAACCGGAGCACAGGGCTCACGCGCGGTAATGTCAACACCTTAATTCGGGACAAGGCAGTGAACCAACGTCCCTGCTCACCCTTTTTTATTTTTCCATTCTTTTGTGTGTTTGCTTTCCCGTCTTTGTGGGTGCAGATATTGATGTGAGCCAGAGGAGCGGTTTTTCCATTGAGCCGCACGAGACGGTGGCGCGCGACGGCAGGAGCAGACAACGTTTACACTGATGTGGGAGGGCTATCTCCCTCCGACGCTGGGAGCCCAAATGAAGGGGACATGCTGCGCTCTGACGGCTGCAGCCGCCAAGGCAACGGCTCCGTGACCCGGGAGCGGAGAGGAGCGAAGCACCGTCACCGACAGCCGCGCGAGCCCTCAGCCCCGCCAGCCAGCGTTGACACCGCAACAGCTCCAGCAGCCAGCGCGAGCCCCCAGACTCTCTCTCTCTCTCTCTCCCTTGGTGAGTGCGCGTGCAGCGTCTTGTGTACACAACACCAAAAATTGGCTTACTGTCCACTCAGCCAGTTGTGCTGCGCACCTCTGGCTACGTCTCCTTTAGAGTTTTGTACATTAACCTGATCGGTGCCGCTCTGCATTCATACTGCTCGTGCTGCTGGGTCATCTGGGCTTTACTGTGGGCATGCAGCGTGTGTGGTGGGGTCTTTAAAGATGATGTTCTAACATACACACATAGCTACACTAACACACGCACACATACGTAATGTGGTTGAATGTGCGCGCAGTGAACCCTGTGAACCCCCACCTGTTTTTTTCTGAGTATTTCTCACTTATTAGACTCATTATCACTGACTGTGTAGACAGTGTAGGCAGGACAACAGGACACACTCCCAAGGTACTGTCACACTGGAGGCACACACACTTGTCTTGTTTATTTGCTGTCTCCGTGGACTGTCCCTCTGTGGGTGACTTTTCTTACACTGAATTCACCCCTCTGACACATACCAGAGGTTTGACTGTGAGCCCAGCTCCTGATGATGGACAGATGTTTGCTCTACATATAAACAGCAGGGACCAGGAGTCCCGGTGAGCATCCGTCCAGGCCCGGGGTTTCCATCCCGGCAGCCCCCCTGAGTTGTCAGGGCAGTTAGGCAGGACACAGCAGCAGCGGCAGCACATCCTGCAGTGGCAACAGGGCTGGTGTGCGGCGTACTCATGGTGGTGATTATCAGCTCTTGTCTGTGTGAGGGTGGGTGGGGGTGGGGGGTGACAAAGGGAAGAAAGAGTGCATAGGAAACTGAAGGCGAGGAGAGGAGAGGAGGGGAGAAGTCAATGTCGATGTCTGGGCAGTGACAGTTTGTTATTTAAGGGCCCCTCAGAGACGTGCATGGGCTGCCCTAGTGCAGGTGCCGTTAGTATGCAGAGTGATGCTCTGTCTGTCTGTCTGTCTGTAAGTCTGTGTGTCTCACACTCAGCCAGTCTCACTCCCTCAGTCGCTGGTTGAAGAGTGAGTTCTCTTATTGGCAGGTCCACTTGGACATAATGAATAATTTCAAACCTCTGAATGCTGGAATGAAAAGGAAACGGCCTTACCTTGGCATGCAGCCGCTGTCTGTCAGACCTGTCTTGAGTGCAAGGCCCTGTGTGTGTGTGTGTGTGTGTGTGTGTGTGTGTGTGACAAACAGAAAATGTGAACATATAACAGCTTAGGCCTATTGTGCTTCCTACCTGTGTGAGCGGGGCTAGTTGTCATAGCAACGGCCTTGTAGCTCCGTTGATGTTCCTCCTGTCCTCATTGGCAGGGTCAGCGCACCTAACACACCACATCTCGTCTCAAAGCTGTGTGCGTGTGTGTGTGCGCGCGCGCGCGCGTGTGTGTAAGCATGCATGTACTTCCAAGTCTGTGTGTGTGTATGTGTGTGTGTGTGTGTGTGTGTGTGTGTGTGCTGTGGAAGTACCTTTTGTTTGTGCCTTGCTGCAGTTCGTAGGCGTGTGGGTTGATGGCAGTGACAAGCCTGTGTGTGTTGGTGTGCACGTGTGTGTGTGTGTGTGTGTGTATGTTGCAGTGTCACAAGGATACACCCTGCCGATATGACAGCCAACAGCTCAACCAATCACCTGTTTCCTCTCTCTGCCTATCAGCATGTGAGGTTGCTGTAGTCAGATGTCCTCTTGATATGGAGGTCGTCATGGAGATGGAAAAGACAGGATGGACACACATATTTCATGTATGCTCACAAACACCAAGACACATGAAGCAGTGATGGGTGCAGTGTGTTTATTAACTTCCACTGATTTCCTGGTGTTTTGGGAAGTTTGGCGTCACGCTCAGGATGGTGCAACCTGTTGAATGGGTGAACAGTGGCTCAGTTTATTGATGCATCAGGTCTAGACACGAAGTAGATTAGCTAAAGACACAAAACCAGTGGTCTTATAATTTATCATTTCACCTCAAAGGAATGCTTCACCCACAAAATGACCATTTGTATCATATATCAATCAGTCACGCTTAAATTCGTGAAGAAAACTTTGTGTTTCTCACAAGACTCCATGAAAAACGGCCAACATATTGATTAATTAATTGATGCAGGACCACTTTAAAATAGCAAAACAATACCAAATCACCTGTTTACAAACTCTCACACAATTTGTGCTCTATAATCCAAGTCTCATTCATCATGTCGTGTGCTCACCACTTCTCAAACATGTGTATTTAAGTATTGGAGTCTTTAGCCAAAGCCAAGATTTTAGCCATGTGTTTGGGAGGCACTGAGCATACCATTGGATAAATGAGACTTGGATTCAACTGCACAAGTTGTGTGAGAGTTTGTAAATTGATGTTTTCATAAAGTGTTGCTGCTGTTAAAGTGGTCCCCAATCAATCAGTAAATCAATATGTTAGCCGTGTTTCCTGGAGGCATGCGAGAATATGTTTTTCTCATGAATTCAAGGTAACACACATGACTGATTGATATACCCACGGTCATTTTGTGGATGACGTCTTCCTTTAAGTTACAGACCGTACAAACATTGCCACCAGATAATGGCTCAGTCAGTAATCTAAATCAGACAGGATACCCTACCAGAGATTGAGTCTGTTCAAACGCTAATTCTCCAGAAACAATCTCAGGCTTCTCCTTACAACTACAAAGCATCTCATTTGAGGAATTTGGCTTCTAGCTGTGCGCAAGATTTGTCAAATGCAACAAAGAGCTTTGTTGTTTTTTTTAGTTGCAGATGTTCTGTGAAAGTCAGCTGAAGATCATTCTGACACTCCCCTTTGAACTCTGCACAACAGATACACTGTATCACTGTCATTTAGCAAAAGGGAAATTACACCAGTGTTGTGAATGAGTCAGGCCATTATTACTCAGCTCTTGAAATGCCTCCCAAATTACACGAGGAATTTATTTTAGGGCACAGATTCACATAAACAATCTTTATAGTGACAAAATCTGATTGGTTGGAGCTTAGAGCTATATTCAGATGGCTTAGAGCTATCACAAGATGGCTTTAAGCGTAATATTTAGATGCAAATTATAATAACGTTTCCTCTGCTGTTGTTTCCAAATCAGAGATGTTACACTGTGCTGCACGGGCTTCACTGTCTGTTGTTCAAAACATCTTGATATCCTATAAGACCTCTTATTTTTAATATTGAGTAATTGGACATTTCAGGAATATTTCACAATGTTTAATATTTTCCACTATGCGACGAGCTACCGGCTAAAAATAATTAGTCATTACTTTGTCCTTGGAGTGAAGGGTCCTGTCTTTTACGACTCCTATTAATCTAATCGTCACCTGAAGTGAAATAGCTTTCGCCACAGGCAGGTAAACGTGGTTCACCTCCCACACACACACACACACACACACACACTCAGGCAAATACACACAGATGCACCCACACACACAGCAACCATTTAGCATTAGTGTAAGCAGTGTTTGTATGCTCCATTCTGTCACCTCCCACACGATACATTCATAAAACGGCTCCTCCGCGCCAAAGGCACTGACTCAATAGGAGACATCTCCCCTTTTCTTTTCTCTCGCCTCCTTTCCTTTTTTAACCCCTCTGCCCCCCTCCTCCCCATACATTCGTCCTTTAGTCTCTTCCTCCACTTCCCTCTCTCCTTCCCTCCCACCTTTCCTATATGTCCCTCCTTACCTACCTCCTCATACTCCTTGTCTCCCTCGCACCATCCCTCCCCCCCACAGGGCTGGTTGCAGCCGGTTTGAGTCTGACAGTGGAGAGGAAGCTCCGACCTCTCACCTCCAGAGGATGGAGGGAGGGAGACAAGAGGAGAGGGATGATGGAGGGCAGCGGGGTGGGGGGTTGGTGGCGGGGGGTGAAGCTGCAAGAGGCGAGGGAGAGGTCAAAGAACAGGAG